AGGCAGAGGAGCTTCCTCAGCATACTAAGGACGAGCTTGCCGGCATGAGCAAAGACACCTTGAAGAGCGAGATTGCGGCACTTGAAGAGAAAACCCAAAGCGTTACTGTCGAGTTAGGAGTCCTGGCTGAATATCGACGACGAGTTGAAGAACATGCCGCGCGGAACGCAGACCTTCAAAGTGCTGTAGCACAGAGAGATACTGCCAAGAAGCGTTGCGATGACCTTCGTCGACTCCGCCTAGAAGGGTTTATGGAAGGATTCAGCACAATATCGCTTCGTTTGAAGGAAATGTACCAAATGATCACTATGGGTGGAAATGCCGAGCTCGAGTTGGTTGACTCGCTGGATCCTTTCTCAGAAGGCATTTTGTTCAGCGTTATGCCACCAAAGAAATCTTGGAAGAATATTTCTAATCTTAGCGGCGGCGAGAAGACTCTGAGTAGCTTAGCCCTCGTATTCGCCCTGCACCACTATAAACCAACGCCACTATATGTCATGGACGAGATTGATGCTGCTTTGGATTTTAGAAATGTATGTAATCCCTTCATATCATGCAAGAGCTATACTAACCGGATAGGTGTCGATTGTGGCCAGTTATATCAAGGAGAGGACGAAGAATGCCCAGTTTATAGTGATATCCTTGCGAAACAACATGTTCGAGCTTGCGTCGAGACTCGTCGGAGTGTACAAGGTCAATCACATGACCAAGAGTGTTACGATTGAAAACAAGGATTACATTAACGGCAGTACGTAAGAATGAATAGTCGTGGTGGGCGTTTTGTGCTGGGTGTGATTCACATGCATGTATCAGTAATGAATATCGACGATGTTCCAAACTCACGGCTGCAAAACAGCTGAAAGCAATGGAGTGCCTGCAGTTTGAGCAAATAGAAAGCTAACACCGCGTCGACTGCTTCCATCTCGTTAATTCTTTTCTGTCATACTAATACATCCCTTCCATTTTCATACAGTACAAAGCTCCTCACGGGAGTCCGAGAGGTATGTCGGAGAGAAACAACACGAGAGAATTCCCTCATCAGACGCCATACTCCCTATGATGCATCGTTCTTGTAGCCTACAATCTAGTCTTGTCATCCATCCATTAAGCGTAAAGACATGGCTGCATGTCTTTTTGTTAAAGCCCTCAGTAACACCTTAGCATCTGGTTCGAAGAGCAGCACAACGAGCTCCTCGAAGTCTTGGCTCTATTTAGCTCCTATTTTTCGTCACCGCCAGGAGAATGTCCATACTTCTCAATCCACATCTTTCGCAGAATCTCGTAGATAAACACATACTGTTCAACAGACTGCACCATAGTTCGTCTCTGCATCCGCAGCTCGTTGACGGTATTAAAAATAGGATCGTTGTCCTTTGTGTCCGACTTATCCCATCCTTGCCATGCACCTCTCTGTAATTCTCCGATCAAATGCTCCAGTGCAACAAATGTGCCAGTTCGTCCAACTCCAGCACTGCAATGGATTACTCTTGGATTATTCGGGTTGGTGTTTTTCTCTCGAGAAAGAGACATCAGCAACAACAGGCTGCTTGAGTCGTCCTCCTGCAACGCGCCAAAATCGGGCCACGACGGGTACAAAAAGTGCCAGATCGGCTTCTCCTCATCTTTTCCCTCAACAGTCATGATGAACTTTCGAATCTCGAGTTCGGTTCCTGGTGGTCGCGGCTCCTGTGAGACAAACCGGATTGTGGCCTTGAAATCGTCACCAAGTTCGCATGTCTCATTTATTGTTAAAGGCTCCGAGTGCTCATCCACTGGAAAGTATGGAAAGCATTTCTCAAACATAACACCAGGAACAGTGGGGTGAGGGTCATGTGTCGGGCTCAGCATTATTATGACACCGGGTGACGAGTTGTTCTGAGCTGCAAGCTCGTGCCAAACCACTATGGAAGTTAGTCTATTAAGAAGTTTACAAACTATAGAGTCCACGAAGTAAACACTTACTGTGCCAGACATGGTCAACAGTCTCTCTTTTCGGCCCTTGCATGCAGATATATTTAGCTTTGGCCGAAAATTTCGCATCACCTTGCATGTCAGAAGGAGAAGCCAAAGAAATTGGAGAGGCATTAATATAGTCATTGTATCCCTCTGGGACTTTAAGACGGATGCGATTATTAGCCCACGGGTGAATATTATTGTACCGATCGAGAGCGGGATCTGACTCCAACCGTGCCCACTGACCATCCAAAGATGGATTTTTGAACTTCTCCGCTATTCGTTCTCCCTCGAGGCGAACAAGTTCCATGAATCTCTCATGTATCTCTTAAATTCAATCAGGATTGAAGCCAATGCATTTAGGGCAGGCATAATCTTACCACTGTAGGAGAGGTTCAAGAAGGCAGGCATTGGAGGAATCACAGGCGAGATATCCCGCTCTGGAGTATCCGTCCTGCTAGAAACGGCGCCGTCTACGTGAGGAGGGTAGTGGCGTGATTGAACACGAGGCGAAGACTCTCTAGTTGTAGCTGGAGACGCAGACCTGTGCGAGGGTGAGTTATTGCGATGCATCCTGCTCAGCCAACCTGGTGACCGTCCCCTTTCCTTGGCCCGAGCCTGAGAAGACAAAGGCATTGTAGAGGGAGACGACGTTTGTCGCCTGCGAAAGGCGTCTCTTAGTTGATCCAGACTGTAAACGCCCGCGGCTATCGCGTACGGAGTTTGTTATAGGAGAAAATAAAATCTTGAGGGGGAGAGCAGGACTGGTCCAGGCCTTGATTAAGAGGACTTCTTGCTACCACGGCTGAAGGGAGACAAAAGAACCGTGCTGTGGACGGATGTAATAGAGGAGCCCCACCGTTTTGGAGAAGGCTCCTTGTGGTGTTGCTCCGAAGCTACCTTTTCTCCCTCTCTCTTCAGTCTCCTCCTCCTGCCTCTCTCTGTCCTTGATATTCTACAAAAGCGTGCCGGGGTCTGTGTGGAAGGGATGTGGCCAGAACGACGGGAGGCTTTGATTTGCAAGCAGGGAACCGGGTTAGGTATTACGCAACAAGGGAAGTTAAGAAATATCAAATGATCGTGAGTTGCAACAGGATAGACAGAGACGAGAGGAACGCAAGCAAAAGTTGAGGTAGATGAACTTAACCTAGTGAAAAGGAAGGCTCTGGATTTAATTCTCGGCAGGCTTGGTAGCGGCATTTTTTTCTATCGTGGCGACACTCTAATAACACGTTAAATATTCGCATAATTACAGTATAATTTATTTCGTGTCTGCACGTATTAGTAATTCTGCATATCAGGGGCGTTGATCGCCTGCATCCGAGCGGAGAACTGTCCGAGGCTTACGGTGCCTCAACAACCTCGTCGCATGTCTTTCAGGCTGTCGATATCAAGCCATTTGTTATTGCGCCTCATGTTGGGAACGTGAACAATGTGGCTGCGAGTAGTGGAGGTACGTTCTCGGTCCCGATCGGCTAGACGGCAGCCTTTCTTGATCTTCGTGCTGATATTTCCCCCGCACAGGTCTGGTTGACGGCACGAGTACGAATCGAATCCTTTCATTGCAGCCTTTTCTCGATAATTAACAGTCCTCCCAGCTTCTCGCGAGTCCATCATTTCATCGAGCTGTCCAGAGGGTGCACAAGAAGGTCCAAGAATTACAGCATGGCAAAGATTCAGCTGAGATGGGGGGTGTTAACATTGATGGTTAGTCAACATTGGGGCTTGGAGAATCAGTATACGACGGCTGGCTGATCAGATCGCAGAACCGAACCGCCCGAGATTCAAGAGATTCCTTCAGTATTACGTGGAAGAGCTAAAGGAGCAGCTTCGCGGGAATAGCAAGAAATGATATATATGGTCTATTTGACGATTGATAGACCCAGGTTTTGCATGGTTGGCGTTTTGAGAAGGATATCAGGATGTTATGGGAGTACGCACTTGGTAGCGTCACGGCCTGTGAGATAACAGTACTCTGTTAATGATACAGGTATCGCAACTCCGCTATATATTTTCTTGCTATTTGGTTTTCCTCATCCAGGCTTTCAGGCTGGCATTTGAAGGTGAGGCATTACTTCTCATAGCCGTGGTACGTTCTTTTATTCTTGGCTTTTCTGTCGGACTCTCTTCCTCACCCGGTCAATAAATTGGGCTCTTTGACTACCACGATGTCGTTTGGCTCTCATTCAAACCGGAGATCACAGCAATGCGCTTTACCAGACCAATGCCTCTCATGCCTTGGTTCTTCCAGCCTCAAGTGCACACATTTACCCTGGTTTTTTCATTTCTGGTGTGGATTAGGCATACAGGCGTAGAGTCTGAGAGGGAAGAGAACAGAACACTACTCGTAACTGCTGGCTAATAGGTTTATACAACTCTGGCCGGCGCAAAGTATACACTATGACTCAGCCAGCTAAAAGATTTCACAACTTGAGATTTTCGTGTAGCTAGGCAGGTGGTGTATGCCTCTGTGTACGCGGATCAGTGGCTGATAGCAAGTACTGCAGCAATGCTATGGATGGAAATGATGTATGCTTACACAGCGACGTTGGTGTGGGCTAGAACTCGGCTTAATAGTAGAAAGATTTCACCGCTGTGGTTAGGCATAATAAGACAACGCCCTCTCCGTTATAGGACTACTCTCAATTATCTGAAGAATATAGGTCGGAAACTCCATCCTCATTTCCAATTTCCAGTCTATTCACTTGGTGCTAAGGATCCAAAATACCCCATTTTCTCGAAATATTTCGTTCGAAGATGGAGCTCATCTGTACACAAGACGCGGCTGTCCCAGAATTACTGTGACATGACAAGAATAGACAAGTTCAACTCGAAACTCCATCCAGGTAGTAAAAGCCTTAGATTCGTCCAGACTCCCGTCTTTTAACTCCTTGGGGCAACATCCGCTGTACAGGATATGAGAATGATGCCATTTTCAATGGCAATCTCAATCCTGTGATGATATTGGGTTCTAGACTTCCTGGTCCCCAGAGTAATCATTGGCTCGCTTACGATCTCCTATGTAACAACACCTTTGCAACTAGCATGGTCGATTGGCGCAGTGGTAGCGTGTTCCCCAAGATAGTCCTCCGATGGATTGTCCGGACCCTCACATGTGTGACGATATCAGGCAGGCTCTATTCAACAGAATCCTGTTGAGGATTGACAACCCTCAGCTCAGAAGCACTTGTGTGATCCAACGGACGGTGGAAGGGAAAGGTCTCAGGTTCAAACCCTGAATTGGCCAGCCAATTTTTTTTGGCTGGTACCACTCTCGCTTACGAAGCTGCGAGCCAAAACTTCCGAACGAAGATCAAAATGTGTCCATCGCGATATTAGAGTAAGTGCGTTGCTGCCAGGTAATCATTGGTGTAGATAATAATACCCCTCAAGTATATGCCTAGTGTGGTGGAGGCAGGTTTCTGGGTTTCTCTTCTAGCGGTTCTGCCAATGCATATTGGTCCCTCTGTCTTAAGAACTGGCGAACTCTTTCCTCCCTGCTAGGGTAGGCGGTGACAGTCTCTGTTCGCCTGCGATTGAGTTCCTTAGAGATGTCGTTATGAAGAGCATCTTGATGTTTTAGATAGCTCATTGAGTAGTTCCCAGCCCTAGCTGCATGAGCAATCCCGCCAAGGACTCCGAACAGCAGAACGAGGCAGACGAAGGCGCCATTTGATAAGTATACCGGCTCTTGGGGTCGCTGCACATCCCGCTGGTACCATTTCTCCCAGTCCTCCCAAGTGGCATTTCGACTTGGCCCATGCGGGCCGCTCCATCCATCCCCACGATCCCACGCATGTAAGGGATCTCGAGTTCCGCGAACACCTGGCTGTCCATTCCATCCGGCTCCATAGCAGTCGTAGGCACTCCTTTTAGCGGGATCAGAGAGAAGGTCATTTGCAGCTATGATTAGTCGATACCTCTCCAGCTTTGTGGCATATGAGAGTCCATCGACTGAAGCATTGTAGCCATGCCGATCAGGATGGTACAGCTTAACCAACTCATAAAACCTGCGCTTTGAATATGGAGACCCTTTCCTTTGGCCAAAAATCTGGTAGGGAGTGGGTATAGTACCAGTAACCGTGCTCCCCGGCCAAGGAATATGAGTCTGTTGATGTTCCCTGCCACGATCATGGACAGTGGCGTAAAGACAACATTGTCGTGAGAAGGTCGTGAGAGAGCCCTGGCGATAACATAGACGGGGGATTTGGTACTGTTGAAGCAACGCTACTTTCTTGAGCATGACGGCAAATCCTAAGGAATCCGGGACCTGATGTCGGGGATCAGCGGGATTTTATACGTGTTTATTCCTTATCGATAATGCTGGCGAGCCGAGGTTTCCCCGGATGTTGACTTTCAAGATCAATGTTGATATTGAAGCCCCCTCTTCTGTCACCGGTCATAGGTGCACTTTTAGTGGCAACGACATCCGTACACTTCCTCATGCATTTGTTTATCATAGTGGCCATCGACAAAGGCTAATATAACCAGATCGGCCCTCAACATGAGACTGCTCCGTCCTCAGACAAATCTGAGAGCGCTGCCAGAGGGCAACATCCAGGATCAATTGCAAACCTCCAAGTTCGATAAGTCCACAGGCCAGGTGTATACCGAGACAACTGCTGCAATTCAGTGCTCTGATGATCGCAACTGGACTCAAGAGAAATATTCGCAGGCCTGTATTACAGACGAGTTTGGTCTCGCCAACCACTTGTGGGAATTTCGTAGAGATGCCACAACGAGCAGGAAGGGAAAACCTCGCACATTAAAAGATATCGCAATTCAATGTATTGTGCAAAATATCTCAGACGCTACATTGGAACTAATTAATTGTCTTCCTTCCGAGCTCAGACGACAAGTCTGGGATGAATTGAAGGAATCAATTGCGGCGTTAGGCTCTCTATTTCTCCTATATTATTAAACTCTCCTGCAAGATGCTAACATTTTCGATTTAAGGGATAATCCAGTGTCATTTAAAACGTGGTCAATTTTTTCGGAAAGTCTCCACCGTGACACGCCAGATCCGTATCTCTACCATTTCGCCTGCACCATTGCGGAACCAAAATCACCACTCAACGTATATACGGCCCCACTTGCGTCAAATCCCCTAAGCTTCATTACTTCATTGAACATCACAGTGCCGTGTCCAGTTCCAGACTTGGTCAGATTGTCAGACATCACCAACCTTGCAGTTCTCGAGATCGCCTACAAGAGAGCAGTTTCTGACAGAGCATTGGGTATAGGGGATCGACTGATTCGAGCATGGCAACTAGCTGCGTTGAATAGTGGTGCATTTCCAGTCCTGCGGATTCTCAGACTGTGGGACTTTAAGAATGTGACAGAACGATCACTATCGTTCCTAAACGACTTCCCTGCACTGGCCGTGTATGACGTGCGAGGCTGTGGGTTTGGCGGTAGATCATCCCCACCACCGCCCTTGGGATGGACTCCGGTTTCTATAGACAGCTTTTTCAACACCTTGACGAGTGTTTATAAGGACCATGTCCTGTCCTGGTTTCGGCTAAGAAACATAGGCGCTGAGTTAGAGCCGAAAGCAGAAGAAGCAAATTCTCAGCAGTCCAAGCCGCCGCCATCCTTTGGTCAGAACAAGATGACATTCATATCTCGAGCGGAAGTGCCGGATATCCTGAATGAGTCTGGTTTCACCCCATACAGACTCGGTGCAGATATGTGGGAGGAGATAACATACAGACTCAGCCCACTAATTGGTGCGGCCCGAAACGATATTGACCTTGTAAGGGGTAAATATAATATTGGAGATCCGGTGGCCGTCCAGCAGGTATTAGGCAGCTCGATTCCAATGGTATCTCTTCGCTTAGGCAATAAACGAACAGCTAGTAGCTCTTCACGATATACCACATATATTCGTGACAATCTGACACATCCACTTAACGCGAGTGTATGTGAGAGTGGCCGCAAAGTTTCAGAAGATGGCAGAGAATCTATGCACAGAGAGGCTACCAAACGTGAGCGGCAAGGGCAAGACGTAATGCAAAAAAAGAAGAGAAAGTTGAACGATCTTCTCAACTCACTCCTATAGATATCTCAATACCAAGGATGTCGGTACTTTGAGAGTTTTGAAAATGTTGTAGGTCGGAAATACCCGAGATGCATTTGCATATTGCATATAATGCATAAAGGTGTAAATAGCTAGATCAGAATGTATATTTGTCACGGGTATACAACTATCAGAACCTTAAATGTGGTAACTAGAAGAATATTACAAAGTCTCAACCTAAGAGTGCGAGTCCACAGTTCTGACTTAGTTGTGTTGTGAACATTGCAGCAACTCAGTGGTATTTGCCAATATCCGAATTACTCCGATTGTTTTCTTATTATTCCTTCGTTGGCATCGCGTGCAATTGTAACGCCCGTGGTACACACTGAGTGTGCTCCTAATTCAATAGGCCTCCTCAACGCCGTCCCAAAGCAACACGTTTCTCATCAAGGCTCACTCACATGCCGCAGGCATTGCTCAAAAATCAAACGTGCACCATTCCCTTCTTGGTGGAATCATAGGCATAACCCCTCCGGGAAATGAGCGCGACTGTTGAAGACGCATATATGCAGCTTCTATGTTGTCGTCATAATTTGAATCGCCCATTTCAGTATCTTTGTACGGAGCAGGAGCTCCTTGCGGAAACCATATTTTCCGCCAGTTCCCATCTTTTGTGTTAAATCCTGCCTCATCTCCTTTGTAGGCGACTCTCATTCCTTTGAACATAGTCAATCTTCCATTGTGATCCTTGGTACCATATGCTTCTAAGGACGGATGTTGTAACGGCCCATTTGGATCAATTAGTGCATTTCCATTCGGGAGGGGCTGAGAGGGAGTCCCTATCTGGCGCGTATCCATACTACTAAACGGATTTGTTGTCGAAAGAGTAGGAGATTTGCCAAACTGATTTTCTGCACTTGCTGGCGCATTGCCAAATGGATTTACACTTGTTGCAAGCGGCTTAGTGCTTGGCTGTCCAAAGGGGTTTGCAGCACCGGCAGCTGGTGTCCCAAATGGAGCGGGACTTGCACCGAATTGGTTCGCTGAAGTGAAGGGGTTTGGGCCTCGGTCGGACGCGTTAGAAAACGGGCCTTGTCCTGCAGATTGCGCAGATGTTGAGAAACCGCTACCTGATGGAGCACCAAAGGGGTTCGCTGCTTGCTGCTGCTGTGGCTGTGAGAACGGGTTCCCAGCTCCTGCAGACGAAACGAAAGGGGCTGAGGCACCACTTGATGTGCTAGATAAAGCTCCGTTTGATGAAGCACCGAAAGGATTTGGCTTCTGTCCTAGAGCAGAAGGGCGCCCAAAAGCCCCCACGGCACCAAGCTGCGACGGTGCCCCAAAAGCTGGAGCACCTCCGCCGAGGGCATTTGGTTTCTCTCCTAGGGCTGATGGCTGTCCAAATGGTACACTTTGAGCTGTGGCAGTGGGAGCGCTAAATATTGAGGTAGATGTTAGTTGGCTTGGTGCTCCAAAAGGATTATTCTGCCCTTGCGTAGAAGAAAAGGGAATCGCAGAGCCTCCTCCTTGGTTGAGAGGATTTGATGTCGACAGTGGGCCAGAAGTCGATGCACGACAAGTATCTATCCTGTTGGGATGCTCATTTTCCGCGCTTATAATAAAATCTATGGCCCCATCAACGTTACTGATCACGGTTTGCATTTGTTGCTCCGAAGCTTGGAATAGCTTGTCTGCTTCTTGGACCTACACAAGATTAGTACACCTCCAAAGATTCTGGAGATTAGACATACAGCTTGTTGTGGATTCCCGGATGCAAGAGCCATATAATGCATGAGGCGCATTTCTTCGAAACTCTGCTCTCTCATTGGTCCTCCAAACAATTGTGCAGGCGCGTTCCGACCTGGTCCGTATGCTGATAGAATCCATTGCGGCCGTTCTGACGACAGATCTGTAATTATGGCAGTTTTGTCGAGAGAGTAGGGGCTTGTTCGTACAGCAGCTGCCCACATAGTTAGTTAGGCTCGGCATAAGAGGATCTAGTAATACCGTCAGGGCCAGTATTTCGAGTACTCGAACTGTCTGGGCCTTGAAGAGCTGCGAAGCGGTTGCCAATGGCAAGGCCTTGGTTTAACGGTGGATGATCAAATCTACATCTGTCTATTCAAACTGAGCCTGTCGCCTCTCACACCTGGAGATGGACCATACCTCCATATCTGCATGAGCCTTGCTGCCAAAACTTGCACACAACCATTGTGAAGATCCCAGTG